TAGGGCATATTTCGCAGAAGATCTGTTGTTAAAACCAGACATAACCAGAAACAATTAGATGATGATGTTGAGTCATATCTGATCTGGCAAAGACAGACGGTGACTTTTGTGAAGGATATAGAAAAACACCCAGTCACACTGCGTCTCCTTTCATCTTAACAAAAGTAAGACAACACCCTTTGGAGCTCGGGATCCATTCATGGTCTGTCCCTTTTCAAGTTAAAATCAAATGTGACGATGACACAATGGAAGTAGTAAACAACTGTCAGCTCCTATCATTTCAAGGACGGTTCATTCACACAAACACGGGACTATTTTTGTCCATTCATCAAATCAGCACATCATAAAAAACTTTGTTCTGAGTCACTGTTGTCTTACAGCTTTTTAATTTATAGATTAACTATAAAGTTTTGGGTTTGTCTAAGATATAAGCAGTCACAAAGAATTTACAAGTCGTTGGTATCTGGTGCAAAACATAAATACCTGTCCTATTAATACCACATCATGACCTTAATGAAACGCATACATGAGGATGAACAACTGAGACTGGATTAATGGGCCCAACCATATTTCAGAGGTTTTATATGCATATCCATAGAATAAATGTTATCTTGGCTATACATTTAAATAAACAGCAATTCCATTGCTATACAGTATCAAATAGAATCTGTCATTACCTCCTCTTGGTGACTGACCTACCCCCACCCCCGGTCATAAAGTAAGGAAGTTAATTAATTGAAGCCCCCCAAATCTGTTTTTGCAGCATCAATACAGCTGCTATTGAGTGCAAAAAACTGAAAAAAGTGATTTTAGATGTTAATTCAGGTGAAAGTGAAACAAACGAGTTGAAAAAAAGAAAGGATGGCAAGGGTGCTTAAGAAAACCTGGCTTTTGTAGCTCAAGATCCTCTGTCGGTACTTCTGTGTGTAAATTGCAAGATTTTGTTACCTACTGGTCAAGTGGCATAACAGTCAGAAACCCAACATAACTCTGATGAAAACAGTGATTACTGCCAGTAAACTGTTGGATAACCCTGCAGGAACAAGCAAACATAAAGTTGATAAAAGCAAACTCCACTTCTGCTTTAAAGTTTTTAATCCTTGAATTTAAGCTCATGACTGCTCATGACAAATTCGCTTTTTCCACCAAAACCAGAATTACTAATAGGGATGTTAAACCAAAATGTATTAAAACCCCGTTTTTAATAATCAACAAATGCATTTTATCCCCCACTAAGGGCCGGATCTATCAAAGGTTTGCGTGTATAAAAACGTGAGCTATTTCACTGCGCACGCTAAAAAATGTACAAACTGATCTATCAACAGCGTGCTAAAAGGATTTGGTCTTTAAAACGTGCTAAATAGAGCCTCTTATCCATTTAGTACTTTTTCTGCAATGAATATGCAATATGGGGCGTTTACACGCAAAAGTGCGTCTTGTGGGAGGAGAACATGTAAATATATTTATTTAGCACTCACAAAGTGATTTATCAAACCTGAACGCAATTTTGCTAACGGTATCTGACTCTATATTTAACACATTTCAAAAGAAGGTGCAAATGGTCTGTATGCGTAATTGCGCACACATGGCAGCGGTTATTGTCGCAAGAAGGAGACATCGAAATGAAGCAAGGAGACGCAGAGAACGCATTTTTTCACTCCGTGTGAATATTTTTGGAATGAACGAGGAAACGATCATCAAAACATATCGTTTATCCAGCATTGCCATTTTGGAGCTGTTGGGGGAACTCCGAATGGATTTTGAGCCAGCCACAAGGAGGACCCACGCAATACCAGATATTACAAAACTCCTTGCAACATTGCACTTTTTTGCATCTGGGTCATTCCAGCGTACGGTTGCAGCGACAGCTGGGATCTCCCAATCTCGTTTTTTCAGAAGTGCTGTCCGACGGGGTCGGGGTTCTCCCCCTGCGCCTGTGGAGCAACGTGCCAAATGCTGCGGAGATCTCATCCACAGTCACAGGCCAATACAAAACCCCTGTTTTTTTTTTTTTTTTTTTTTTACTGCAGCACATACCACCTTAGGGAATAAAGTTTGCCAATTTTTATATATATATATATATATATATATATATATATATATATATATATATATATTTTTTTTTTTTTTTTTTGTTGGGGGTCACTGTAAGATTTAAATTTCTTAATGCACTAGTTTGTACAGACTACAAACTACTTTGCCGCAAACCACAAAACGCGAAAAACCATCATTTAAATAGGGCGTCTCCAACAGTTTTGCACCTTCCACCAGTTACGCAATCACTCTTGTTAAATCACCCGCAAACCATGGTTCAGCCCTTCGCGCAAAATTCCAGTTTGCGAGCGCAAATTACTGCACGCAAAATTGGATCTTGATAAATCCGGCCCTAAGCATTTCCAGGGTAAATACTATTCGACATATTTTTATGTATGTGAAAAACATACCTGAGAAAATAATGACGAAAGATTAATTATATGAGCACCAGATTATTGTTGCTTTGCTTGTTTACTGTGCATCACAGATTAGATGATTCCCTGAGATCTATGGCAAATCCTAAAATATTTTACTCTGCATTTTTAGGTATTATAAGTATTATTTATTTGTATGACTTTGGTTTGCCAAAAGACTTTAATACTTCTCCAGTTACAATTTAGTAACTTTTTTTTTTGTATTGAACAATTTAAAGGTGAAAACCAGTAAAACTGTAGCCTGACGTAGTCCTACTCAATTCTAGTCAGAATATGAGTCTGATACTGCTCCATAGAGCTGTGATTATGGGGCGTGTTTTGAACGAACCAGGAAAAAAAATGCCTCTGCACTCAATTGGATAGACCTACAACCAATAAGAGCAACGGAGTGCGTGACGTATGTTAAGCGGCATAGTTGTTGTCAACAAAAATCAAAGCGTGCAGTTGCATGCCTAGAATAAGAAGATGAGCGTGAACGATTTTTGCGGGTGTTGCAAAAAAATTTATTTGCTGTCGATATCTTCTAGAACAGAGCTAATAGCAGAATCTACACACCTCAACTCTCCAGCGGCAGCCGTTGTTGTTGTCACCCAAGCGTGCTTTGGTGACGTGGTTGATTACGTTACTGTTGATCATCTGTCCATCATCGTATAAAGCCCGCCCTGACAATTTGATTGGATCGCCAGATATTGAGCGAGCATACTCCCGCTACTATTGAGCAATGCCAGACCAAACTTCCCGACTTCAAACATTGTGGGCGGGACTAAGTTCGGAATGGCACCCAGGCTAGTAAAACTGGCCTTATAATAATAAATACTTAACTTAAAAAGTTTATTTTTTTAATTTATTTATTGTCAACTAGTAAAAACTAGCTGAACTGATGGTCAGTTATTTTATTGTCTTTAATTTTTTATTAACCCCTTAAGCCCTGAGGGTTTTAGGAGCAAATTTCGCCTAAAATTCCATATATAATGTAAAGCAGGTACAGCTGCAAAACTATAAATTGGAAGTACGATTGTTTGTATTTGTATGATAGAATGGCATTGATGAATATTTTTTTGGTGGAACCACTATTTTAAATGGATGAAAAAATGTTTCTCTCCCTAATTTTTTTTCCAAAATAAACACTGCAAAACACCATGAAAACTCCTTTGAAATTCTGAAGCCTTGGAATTTATAGATCCATGTCTTGAATACAACTCAAGCAAATTTGGACTGAATAAATTGAAGCATGTTTCTTCCAGAAAGGTTTTAGTGGGCACAGTGGTGCCAAACGTGGCCAAATTGTGCCAAATGTATTTTCTCACTGTGGTGGATCCTTCTACCTCCACAACAAAATTTGTGTAATTTCATAATTCTGCAAATGCAGATCAGCTGGAGGTGGAAGCAGCCAGGAACAAACCACTTTCCCAAGAACTGAGAGGGGAATTTTGTTTAAGTTTACTTTAGTTATTTTGTCACCTTAAGTTCAATTATTATGCTAAGTTATAGTTTTTTTTTAATTTGTTTTAGTTTTGTATGGACTTTTTATTTATTTATTGCTTCTCTGTTATATTGTGCCTCCCTAATGTGGCAAATTTAGGTTATTCCACCCCTATTAAAGCTGCTGTTCTTTATCAGTAGTTTGACCTCTGTTGGGTTGGGCCTAAATCTATGTTATTTATTATTTAAGCTATTTTGTATTGCTTTTGAGCCTTTGACTATTTTTGACACTATTAAATGAATTTTTTTTCCAATGTTTGAACACCTTTTATCCTTATTTAAGTTTGGTCCCTCACATTCACTCATAAAAGGGAATCTGGTCAGACAAATATGCTGATTTACGTTATTCAAGACCTTCTGGATAAGGCAAAGCCCATGCTTCTAAGACTTAGCCATTGTTTAATTAAAATTTACCATTAAACACACAATAATATCACCACACTGAATAGAAAATAAGATAAATTGTGTAATTCTTTTTACCAAACAGGGATATTTTATTAAAGACAAGAATTAGAAATCCAAAACTCTACAAAAATTTAAAAACCAATTAGAATCAGAAACTTCTGTAAAAAAAAAAAAAAAAAGCAAAATAATTATGACACATATCCCTATCATCAGTCAAACGTGTAGCGGAACAAACCTGGTTTACAGATTTTTAAAACTATAAAACAAAAAGTATTTGTAAAATAAGTTTGAAACATGTTTTGGAAATGTTAAAGCCACATTTTGAAAGGCATGTGGATGACACGCCACATGCATGTTTTTTGGTCATTTCTATAAATACATAACAAAAAAAAGCAGGCATTATTACCGGGCCCGCTGGGCTAAAAGGGTCTAACATCTATCTGCTGTAAATATTACCAACTTAACTTCTAGATACTAAAACAACCTTCTAAAGTCTTTATTTTCTTTGATGTGAGGAGTTTGTTCACCATATAAAAGGCCACAAGTCTCAGCTACAATCGGACAAAAGAAAACTCCACAGATGTATATGGTTGATATTAGCATGTTCTTTGCTTTCATTTGTGTTTTTTTCTTTGTCAACGAAAGGAATGCAAGCCGAAACAGTGGAGACAAACCATCGAGAGAAGAAAGGACACACTATCCATCAAAGAAGTGAGGGAAGATGACATTGGGAATTACACCTGTGAAATACCATTTGGGAATTTTGTTGTGAGGAGGACTACTGAGTTATCAGTAACAGGTAAGGGAATCGTCCATATTTCTACATCATTAATGCTTTGAACTGTACATCCAGTAATCTGACTTTAACCTATATTATGTGGGTTTTTTTTTTGGGTTTTTTTCTGAAGCATATCTATATAGTCTGTAGTGGTGGCTGCAAAATGACTGCATTAATGCAGAAGTTGCAAAAGTTCTCCCTTTTATTCTATACATATTTCCTCAGGTTGTTTTCTTTTTTTTTAAATATTTCTCAGCCTTTAGTGCGTTTTGCTACCATTACGGCTTCTTTATTTGACTAGTCGGCTTTTCTAATTGCTCAGCAGTAGAATCCACTCTGAGCCACTTCAGCACTTTTCCTGAAGGCTGTTGAAATATTTAAGCCTGAATCTAAAGCAGGTGACAGATTGCTTGTCACAGACTGTCACAACCAAGGTTGACACAAAGCATTTTGGATAGCTTCATTTCATGCTTCTCTTGCCACCGCTGTAATGTACTTTTCAAGAGTAACATTTGCAGCTTTCAAAATGCACAATTAAAAAAAAAAAAATTGGTTCATTTTAGTCTAATGCCATATTTCTCAGTCATTTCAGTTTTTTGGGCTCCATTTTCCTCTTGTTCATAAGTGGGTTAAAGTAAAATTTTAACCATATCTGAAAGTTTAAAGGCAACCCACCATTTCCACCAATTGCAAGAGTTTATAGTGTGTATGCAAAATAAAAATTTCAATGAAATTAACGTTTCCGTTTGTAAAGTGCAGCAGTGATGAAAAAGTAAACAGTGTAGGAGAGACATGATGCAAAAGCCATTGATGTGGGTGGTTCAAATAAATAAATACTATGCAAAATGCAGTAGAACACTACATTAAATTCTTTTTTAAAGGAATTTGAAAATTTGTAATGTAATGCAAATAAGATCGATGCATAGTTTGTAGGTTCGCAAGACAAAGTTAGATGATGCAGTATTTAGGTGCCAGTGTGTGCTTTTGTAATTACTATATGGTTAGGCTTTTGTTGGGCCTTTAAAGAGGCTACAAAAGGAATCAAGAGAGCCTTGCTTCATTTCTCGCTGCCCTCAAAATGTCATCCTGAGAGAACGGTCTCAATCTTTCTACCTTTGAGACATCCAGCATTTCCAAGCAGGCGGGCAAAAGGTGATTAATGATAGTGCCATAGCAGTCGAAGCAGCATTTATGATTTTTAAGAAGAAATAATCCTTCAGCCGTCTGTCTCGGTGGGTTTTCTCCCACACTCTGACCGTGGAAGGTAATGCTTCTCTCTATGTAGCTTTTTGATAAACTGTCTAGGATATAGAATGACATTGCTGGAACGATAGACTCCAGTAGTACTAAGTAGAAGAGAAAAGAGATGGATAAACACTTTAAATTCAGAATGTAAAGTTATGCTACGAGGCGTCATAGGTAGTGAGGTTTTCATTGTTTTTAGTGGATGTAGAGACTTAATCATTGGAAGGAAATGTTGGAGACTAAAATGTTTTATGACAGGTTATTTGTCTGTTTGGAAGGATTGCTTTTCTCTAAGTTTTGGATTTACCTCTGACTGATGTTTTCCATTTTTACAAATTTTCTCAAGGCTAAACTCTTATCCGTTTCCGTCTGTCTGCTGACAGTGCCTATCTTCCTGTGAAACAAAGCAAGCCTTACAAATAGTTTGTTTGTCCTCACTAAAAACTTTTCATGCTATCAAAAAACAATGCTTAAGGATCTGAAATTATTCACTGTATCAGCCCATAGAAACAAGACTTTGGCTCAATGACTTGAATACAATCAGGTTTATACACATTTTGATAAATTTGCTGGTTTCACTTAGGATCAATATCACCTACTGGTTTTATTGTTTCTAACTCCTGCAGGCAAAACTCCGTTGTTTGTCTAATTTTCTCACTTAATCAATTCTGCAAGCCTTTTAGGGTTCAGTTGTTTAGGAAATAGTCATCCATTTATTTCTATTATACTTTCATCTAAAAAGCAGCGAAAACTTTGAAACTGCAAATGTTCCGACAAAGCTCCACAAAAAAGGCAAGCTATTAGTGAAGCTGAGTCTTTCAAACTGCACCATAAGCACCCATTAAAACACAGGGTAAGGGTTTGTGAATAAAGTTCCTTTAATTATATCAAGCTTTTGATGCAGGGGGGTTGTTCTAGAGAGGCTATAAGAAGCAATACCTAGAGAAAGACCCCTTCAACCCCAGAATGTTCCCTGGTAGCTACTCTTTATGGCTCCCTAAGTAATTGGTTAAACACAATGACAAATTTACAAACTCTAGACTACAAAGGAATATTTCAGTTTATGCTATATCTTTTATCTAAGTACATTTACTAAATAGTTGTTAACAAAATAGCTTCTTTTACATATTTTATGAAATTGATGTTAAAAAGGTACCTTCTATTTGTTTTGACTGTCTACTTTTCCATTGTTTTAAGTAACGGGGAACGAACGTTGCTCATGCAGAACAGGGCAGAATGTTGTGCCATTAGAGCTGTATGATGAACTGTTCTCTCTTTGCAAAGATATGAATAAATGTGCCGACTGAGTGAAATCCATCGTTCTCCTTTTATTTAACTAGGGTGAATAGTTGAATACTTTTTTCCCACGACAGAATATATTGAATAACTAGAACTGGGAGTTATAGTTAATTCAAACCAAGGGTAAAACAAATTAATGGTTACTAGTTCAATAATAACTGAAATTGTTAAAATCCAGTAGTCTTTCACCAATTTAGTAATTTAGACTATAGTTATCAAGAGTTATTAATCACCTGTAAGAGATGTTACTCTTGCAGTACCTGCAGTTCTATTAACAGTTTTTTTTTTTTTTTTTTTACTTCCTCCTTATTGGATCATCTTTAAAAATCTAACTCTGGGGTTAGGAGAAATTCATCTCTGTCACAGTAGGCCATGGATTGCTTTTTGATAAATACATAAACACATTTTTTATATGATACAAGTTTCAATCTTGTATTCGTCGTTGGTAGCTGAAGAAAAGCCCAGTTTCTTTATTGAAACCCGTGGTTCCGGTTGGATCTTTCAATTTGATGCCAATCAGAGTTGCTATTGAAAAAAAAAATAGTCCCATCATAAAATCCTCTACAGGTAATGTAAACCAAGATATTTTTTTCCAGCTGATCAACAACAGACCTGCCTCATAGCTATTCACTGGGATATATTGTCAGATTATATTTGATAATAATGGACACGGCTGAAATTGTAATGAGCTCCCATACTGTTATAAAAGATATTCATATTTATAATATGGGTAGTTTTTCTTTTTTTCATTTCATGAAAGGTGCACCGTTTGATGTCTTAGATTAAAGAAGGCTATAAAAAGCAGTAGTGAAGAACATCGCATCTACCCAGGAGCTGCAACTTTGGTCTGTATAGACTGTCACTGTAGCTAATGAGCTGGGACTGAAGCTGTTGACCTGCTTTTCTTATTTTAAATTGGCATATGATGAAGTGTGTTTAGCTGCAAGACAACTGTGATTCTGGAGTGTTTTTTTTTTCTTTTTTGGTGCCAGTATGGAAATAATCAGTGTAGCAGAAAAGCAGAAATAATAGTGTTTCTTTCTTGGTTTATAAAGCCTTTGCGTTGTTGATGCGTCTGATAATCTGGCATTTCTTTAGCCTAAAACAATTCTTAAACCATTACTTTGGGAAATTCTATGCAGTCAGCCAGATTTTTTAGCCATATATTTTCCCTTTCCTGCCCTTCTTATGACCTGATATTACCATGCATGCAGAGTGATTTAGATCGAAAGGGAGAGGTAAGAACTTGTTCACACCTGGGCATGAAATCTGACCCGACTGATCTGTTATATTTTCTGCTTTACATGGAAATAAACACATAGTCCCATCAGATAAATCCACTATGTAAAGTCTAATAGGCTATCAGATAGTAAGTAAAAGAGATTTACTCATTACTTGCACTATTCATTATCTGCATGGAAATCCGAGACTTATAAATATACGTTAAAAGGGAAGGTTTACTCAGTATTCTGGATTAAGGCAGGGTTTACTCTAAGATTAGTTTTTAATAATGGTGATCATGTGTATTAAACAAAATTATGATTAATTATATACATCACTGCCATTAAAATGTCATTGAAATGCAACAAATGTTTCCATCCATCCATCCATCCATCCATCCATCCATCCATCCATCCATCCATCCATCCATCCATCCATCCATCCATCCATCCATCCATCTATCCATCCATCCATTGAAAATCTTAGAAATTTTCATGCAAATAGAAACACTCTGCTTCTGTTAAGTTTCTGTAATTCATTGGTTGACATTGTTTTACTTTCTTAAGCCTTTTTTAAAGGTATAGTGGAGGATTTTTGCAATTTTTTGAAAAGAAACGCCTTTTCCACAAAAAAAAAGCATGTGAATAACCCTGTACCCGCTCCGGAACAGGAACGCCTATTAAACGCTAGAGAGCATGCACGAGCCCATTTCTTCTCGAGCACGCTCTCTTTAAAAGTTGCAAAACACATTTTTTACGTACAGTTTACTTGTTGTTTGTAATATTGTCTTTGAATGCAATCTTCATCACTTATACCTCTGCCACACCCTGACGATTAATACCAAGGTATGCCTGATGTATAAAAAATCCTGCAAAAACATTTTATTTTCATCAGGTATCTTAATTGTATAGGTTTGGCGCCAATACAACCTGCGTATAGGGGATGTTTTGTTTCTTCCTAGTATTAGTGTAGTTTTTTTTTTTTTACTGTATATTTTTATATTTACAGCAAAAGTCTTACTAGAGATTCATTTATTTCTATATCTTAATTGGATAAATTATTTCCAATTAATTATATAAATTAAATATATCAATAATTAGATAAATATTTGAAGACTGGTCAAACAAGCTGGAAACTTCTGTTTTTAAGCAGAACTACTTAATATTTTTGCTTCAGATGATCAGAGTTTCTTAAAACTCCTGATTTAGGAAAAAATATTTGAACTTGAGAAAAGGCTGATAATTTTATTGACTTCT